AAAAAAAAAAAAAAAATAGTTATCGTTTTACAAAACATAGTTTTCTTCATCCGCCAAGGTTACCATGTCATTTTGAGTTTTGACGTATGAAATGGATAGCTACCATGTCAAAATTTTCTTAATCTGCCAAGTCTACATCATTTTCATTTTCACGTGAAATGGGTAGTCTACCATGTCATTTTGATATTTTACGCACGAAATGGATGGATATTAGTTGAATCTACAACATTGTGGTTGAATTTAAAAACAATCATTTTGATTATATGATGACATTAAGTGTTTTAGTGTTGTTTCTTCATTAATGTGGTAAGTTCGTGACTGTTTATCACCGATACTTAATTACTCACACTGAATTTCGTCATTCAACCTAAAGAACAAGTTATTTTGAGTAAACAAAATAACATTGAAGACCGAAATTTTAAGTAAATATCCTCCACTAACAGGTTTTTTCGGAAAACTCTATTTATTCTGGTGTGGATGGCGGGCAAGCCTATATTCCTTGGTTTTAACATATGTTATGTATACATATATATAGTTAATAAAAATAAACAAGAGGTCCATTTGTAGGTAATTTTATGAAACTATTAGGGAGGATTTGGTCTTTGCAATTCAGTTTGAATTTTAACAATAATTCATTTTATTAAGAATTCCTTATGCTTGGTTTATGTTACGGTGCTAGTTGTGTCAAGTATGCTAAAGGGATCATTTCATTGTATTCGTCTTTAATATAGACTTAGTTTCTTCGAATTGTATTCTAGGCCGCAATGTGATCGGTTCTCTTGGTTATTTGGTTGGTTTTGAAGGCTAGTTAGCCTCTCGATTGTAAAACGTTTGTTTTGATGTTTTATGGAGTAATTCTATTGGGACACAACCTCTTCCTCGATGTCCTCCTTGTCTGCAACGCGCGCTCGATCCGGAGATGTTTCATTCGCCTGCAGAATTGGGCGAGTACTTCCAGTCTTCGGTCTCCAATGACATTCCTTGTCTCGAGTATTTCTAAGTTAGGACATCTTTGCAGCAAGAGATAAAGGCCTTCAGTGTTCAGCATAGCATAAAGAAGATCCAACTTTCTAAGCCTTGAAGCAACAGGATAGAGAATGGGCATCTGTGTGTTCCCCATAAGTGAGACCTCGGTGGGAATACGACGCCGCTGTATCTTTCCAATTTCTCATCCAAAACACCTTCAGCAACCTGTCCGGGGAGATCACTAAAGGAGTCCCCACCAAACTCCTCCAATGAAGTAGCAGTTCCTGAAAAAATCTACGAGGCGTGAATTATCAGAATCACTAATTTTCATCGAGGCCAAAGATGGACAATTTCTTGCGATCAGTTGAAGGTCTCTAGGACTGACTTGCATGAGCTCAGTCATATCAAGTTCAAATTTTCATGAACCGTGTTGTTTCGAAGCAAGCTCATCATGCAACCATTGTCCATCATTCTCTTTTATTGAGCACTCTTTCAAAAATAAGATCCTCAACTTCCTGCATATGCGCCGGATAAGCAAAAGACTATCTGTGGAGAAGCAGTTCCGAACACTTATCATTTGTTTTTTCGCGAATGTTGTGTTTGGTGTTTGGTTGTGTTATGAGTCTCAACAGCTTCATATATTGGATACCCTTTTCACGCAAAGGGTTAAAATATAATGACACGATAGAGTATAGAACACTTCACGCAAACAACTAACAGAAAATGAAAATATAAGTTTCTGTTCAACTGGGTAATAATTTTCGCCACACATTGGATGCTGGGTACTAACAATACACAGTAAGTATGAAGTACTCACAAAATGGTATTTGCCATTCACTAAAAAAAAAGAAAACGAGTATGTGCAGTAGATATAACTAATATTTTCAAGAAAAATCCCCGCAAGTCACTGGATGGCCGGGCATCCCTTGGCAACCACCCCAGCCTCGGTTGGGCACGTCGCCAGCGGGCAGTGGTCGTCGGCTTGCAGCCCCCACCAGTCGGGACCCACAATATTCTTTGACTGCAGGGTGAAGAACAGAAGCACTGCCATGAAGGCTATCCCGCTGTTAAGGGCGGCTGACAGGACGTACGCGTGGCGGGCCCACCACCTCTTGTGGGCCCTGTACAAGTAGATGTTGAAGAAGATGCCCGCCGCCCCCCACATGATGAAGTTGACGGCCCTTGCCGGGGGCATGCTGGCTGTGGCGCTCATGATGAGGGGCACGTTGACGAGACTTATCCACTTCTTGTGCGGGTACTTGCGCCCGAGCAGGTAGACTGGGACAGGGGCCACAAGGCCCACCAGGAACCACCAGTTCATGGCACCGTACACGCCCTGGCCCGCAAACATCCGGAGGGGCCCGATGACGCCCCATATGATGGATGCATTGTAGAAGACCTCGTCCCCAGGGCAGGTCCACGGGCTCCCATCTTTCAAAAGGGCCGTGTTGCAGATGTTATCGACGGACGAGAGTAGCCACCAGGCCGTGCTGAAGCAAACGGTTGATGCAACTATGGTTCCTACCAACTGATTGTAATTTTCAAAATTTGTATTATTCCTTTTTTTTTTTGGAAAGTTAACAGATGGTTTAAATTGAAGAGATTGGGTTCGGAAATGGAAGTTTGCGAACCTGAACGATGAACATGGACTTGGGGGGAATCTTCATGTACTGACCCAATTTGAGATCACTTACGAACCCGAGTGCTTGTGACATGCTTATGTAACCGTAGGTCTTGAAAGTCACATTTGCAAGAGGCTTCCCCGGGTAAATGTAACCGATCACCATCTCTGTTATGATGTTTAGCCCGATTTGCTGCAAAACAATTGTTACAAACGATATATTAAGAAAAATGAATAGAAGATTTACATATCCCAATAGGACAGTACCTTATTCGTGGTGGCTTGAATGATGCCGATTGGTAGGGTGAAGAACAGAGCCATGGCGCAAGCCAGGATAAGCCCCCACCAAGGGAGTTGGAGCTGCTTTCCAAAACCTTCGCAGGCCCACAAAGAGAGACAAAAAACGACCCCAAGAATCGAGTAAAACCACCAGTTTGGCACGGCTTCATAGTTGGTCTTCATTAATCTCCCATGCACATCAAGTTTATTACCCTTAACATCCTTTGTCTTTCTCCACATAGCCCATATATTGCTACATACATCAGTTTTTCATCAGTACAAGTAGTTACTTAATAAAGATAGATGTCAAAACCACTTAATTAATTACCTCCCATGATTGAGCACAACATAAGTAATGGTGGCGGAAAGCGAAGCGAATCCAAGGCCGTATGTGAAGGCAAAGAAAACACTAAGGTACAACTTGCTGTAACTGTGATATCCAGCCAAGTTGAGATCGAAAGTGGCATCATTTAGTACACGGGAGATGTTGTACGAGTGGCCACTCACATCGAACGTTTTGCTCGAGAATATCGGGAACCTCTTGGCATGGTACAAGTTGTTGAAGTACACCAGTGGGGTCATGAGGTACATGACAAAGAAGAAGCCGACGAGTTTGTTTATAATTGCAAAGCCTGGTGTGGAAATCGGGTCGCCGATGAAGTTGGCGGTGGCCCAGTCGAGGCCGAAGGAGCCAATTCCCATGCCGTGCATGCCCGACCCGATCTGCTGGGGGAATATCTTGTCCTTGTATATCAAGCAGAGAATGGAGATGGAGGACAATGAAGGGGCCAAGTAGCCGGGGACAATGTAGTATGCAAAGCTTGATATGAATGCGACTAGGAAGAACTGCAGACGGGTTAGGCCTCTTTTGCTTCGGGCTTCTTTCTCGTGCAATGCTCTGCGAAAAACACAATCGAAAAACTGAAATGTAAGAAATATAAGTGACAAGAGAAAATGTAGAAGAGTGTTGGGATATAGAAAAACCTGAAGAGAGAGACAGCAACCATGTTTTCAGGCCACCACATGTAGGGTGAATCAACCAAGATGTTCCTAAATACACCAGCCCAACCATAACCAAGCATCTACATGTTTTTTTTTTTTTTTTTTCAATAGATACATATTACATTATACTCAAATAGAAAATAAACAAAAGTATGATGATATATATATATTGTAAATTATAACTGAACTGTGATATTAAAAACTAACCTGCGTGGTTTGAGCCAACAACCAAGCCGCCACGGGATGCAGCTGACGGTGATAAAAAGCCCTCACAATGGTCACAATCGATATGGCGTAAACACCCGAGGACCCGCACCCTGCGAAGATACTGATGAGCACGTGCTCCTTGAGGTTGAATGGGCCCGGGTTTAGGGAGAAGGACCAACCCCGCATGAACGGGACCTTTATCTCGGCTGCCGGCAGCACCCTCGCCATGAACCGCCCGATCGGGAGGCTCAAGATCTGCATCACGACCGGCGATATGTAGAGGCTGTTTTGCCTGTAGCCGAAGAACTGGTTGATGAAGGCCAGAATCACGCACGCCGAGAGCCCAATGACCCACGTCCGGAACGTCAGCGCCGGCAGGGACGGGTCGTCGTCCGCCGACACCGTCAGCCGCACCTGCTCGATCGGGCAGTCGTTCTCGTCAACCGCACCGCCTTTTTCATCTTTTTCTTTTAAAAAAAAAATATATATGGTACACACGTCACAAGTTGGTCGTCGGTCAGTTATGAATTAACAAAAAGAAAGGAAAAAGAATATTGATTACCATGAATTTCAACAGTGACGTGAGGGGCCTTCTTCTCCAGTGACTCGCCGCCGTTGGTGTTTATTCCGGTCATCTTCGGTGGATATACTCCGGCAAGGTTATGTTTATTTATTTTCGGACTTACGATATGTTGCGTGGATTATATTACAACGTCCATCGGAGTCCTGATATTGTAAAACATCTGCGTTTGTCACTTTGAACTCGAATTCTGGGATGGTGAAAATTAACGAATGTGGTCTGAAATGTGGGCCATATTAACGGTCTTATGATGGTCAAAGACATCGATCGATTGTGTTCTTGTTCAAGATTCATCTTGTGATCAAGTGATTGATAAACATGGAAAGTCTATTATAATTATTTATTTCGATTTAGATATATGTAACTTCATTAATGTACCATTACTACTATCAATTTATAATTATTACAACTAGTAATTTAAACTTGATAGTTTGAAAAATCTACAATCAAGTCCAATAAGTTCGAATTCTAAAGAGTATGTATTATGATTATTTAATTCAACTAGTACGTAGTCGTTGCGATGCAAGGGACAAAAGTATTAAATGAGTCATTTTCACAGAGCTTTCAGTTAAGTAGCTCGTGCTATTCACGGGAGATCTTAAATGAGTGGACCATAGGGTTTGTCCGTTCAGGCCTAAAAAATAATAGGGTTTGATCATCTATCATTTTATCTCTTTTTCAACGTCATTTTTTTTGTCGGGACATTAAACCTGAGCTTGGTAGCGCTAGCCCGTAAATTAGTTAATATATTATCTCGCTCACATGTTTATAATAATATAAATTTAATTTTATTATATATATTTATTCCTTGATATAAGAAAAAAAAATAATTTTACGTAATTTTGTTCCTCGTATAATACTTGTACTATTTTATTATAAAATCTATTGTGATATAATGACATTATAATTATTTATACATTGTAGATGTCGTCTTCTTCTTTTTTTGATTTATGTAATTAAAATATTTAATGATTTATTAATGTAATTAATTTAAATTATATAAATAAATTTTAAGTAAAATATTTTGTACAAACATTTTACAAAATATACACAAATGGTTTTTCAGATTTTTTTTTTTTTTTTTTTTTTATAATAAATAAACATCTTTGAAATACTTTGCTATTATTAAACATCCTTGATATATAATCATACATGAATTATATGCAATTATTAATTCTGTCCGATGTTATGGGAAACAAATCATTCAGATGTAACAAAATGATAAGAAATTTTAAAATCTAAGTTCTAAATGAGACATGTTTTTACTTGAATTCTATGCAATTATTATTGTGGCCGATTTTATGGCAAACAATTCATTCAGGATTTCAATGTAACAAAATGATAAGAAATTTTAATAATTAATTTTAAATTTGAAATGAGATATGTTTTTACTCTGTCCAATTTTATTGCAAAACACATCAATTAAGGATGGAATTAATGTAGACCATTTTTTAGCTATAAAATAATAATACAATTAAAAAAATGATAGAAATAGAATGCATTAATTGCTTTTGACTTTTCTTCCTTCTAATTCTAGTAAATGGAATGACTTTTATATAAGTATAGATTTAGATTATATATAACTTCCTCAATACCATTACTACAATTACTTTATAATTATAATTACAACTAATGTAATTTAAAATTGATAATTTGAAAAATCTACAATCAAGTTCGATATGTTCGAATTCTAAAGAGTAGCTCGTGCTATGCATGAGTAAACAATATTAATTAATAATTATAAATTAATGACTTGGATAAACGACATTACATAATATTTGTACGGAAAACTTTATAACAAGGAAAAAATAATAAAAAATATAAATAATAGTAAAAATTATAACACAATCATTGAAAAAATGTTTTAAAAATAAATCTAAATATTATTCATATACAACGTTCGTAGTTTTTTCTATCATAAAGAATCTCTATCACCACAAATCATTATATCAAAATCCCTCTTACTCGTAATTCTGGATAGCGCCACGTACTGCCCATGACGAAATTCAGGGCACTTAAATAGTAGGCCGGAATGCGACAGAGACTGCATTTGACTCTTATTGATTGTCATACCATAGAAAAATCATGAGCGGGAACTGTCTGCGCTGAAACTTGAAATGCACCCTCTGTTTATTGTGTTTTTGTGCTTATTTTCGTGTGTTTTATGTGCTTGAGTTTAGTGTTTTTAGGTTCGTTTTAGTGTCAACCGGTCCATTTTATCGTGTTTTGTACATTTTTATTCTCGTATTGTGTTTTTGTGGTTCGGCGTACTTTTCTTGTTTTTGTGCTTATTTTCGTTTGTTTTATGTGCTTGAGTTTAGTGTTTTTAGGTTCGTTTTAGTGTCAACCGGTCTATTTTATCGTGTTTCGTGCATTTTTATTCTCGTATTGTGTTTTTGTGGTTCGACATACTTTTTTTTTCTTTTTGATGTTGTTTAGGTCCACATTATTCGATTTTGGGAAGACGAGTCTTTTCCGAGACATTTTCGAGTCGTCCGAACCATGTTCGAGCCACGTGATCCATTTCTGAGTCATTCCGAGCATATATATTAATTGCGCGGCAATATCAATTTGAGCACTCCAAGATGAGGAGAAAGAGATTTGGAAGTGTGGGTCAAAGTTTCAAGTCAATCGGATATGTGTGCGAGAAGTTAGGGCGAATCGAGCATCAACGGGTCATGACCGAGCCCTTTCCCAAGCGCAGCACGCCCGCACCCATACCCGCGCCCGCGCGCGCCCCAACACAAGCAATGGCGCCCAGCTTGCGAGCTCGCCGCAACTTCCGCGAGGTCGAGAGTGCTCTCCACTCCAAGCCCGCGAGCTCGCCGCAACTTCCGCGAGGTCGAGAGTGTGCCCTGCTGCGCGCCCGCAGCCCCGCGCGCCCTGTTCTGCCAATGCCCAAACCACACTCTCGAGCTCGCGATTTCATGGCTAGCTCGAGAGTGTGTTAGTAAATGTGCGTGTTTTAGTGTGTGTTTTGTGGTGTAGCTATATAAAGACATTATGCTTTGTATTTTTGGACACAACCCTCATTTCCCAACTTTTAAGTTGGGAATTCCTCTCTATTTTCTCTTTTTCCTTTTTATGCTTTGGTTTGGAGCTTATGAATCAAGTTTTCCGGCGAATTTCCGGCGATATTGTTTCGAGTAAAGTTTCGAGATTTTGACTCCGGTTTTCTTCCCAAGTGCGTGTGAGAGTGGGTACTTAGTCTTAAGCCCCATTACTTCGTATATCATTATTTGCTTTTTGTGAAAATTGATATTGTGCTTGTGTTGCTTGGAGGAAAAGATTGAATCTTTAGATCGTGAATGCTTGCTCGTCTTGTGCTAGAGTTTTATTTAGCTTCCTAGGATTTTAGCTAGCATGGCAATGCTCGGTTATTTGTGTGTGTTTGATCATGGAGACTCCGACAAACCAAGATCTCTCTTTCCCCCGTGATTTCTCTCATCTTCTTGCGTGCTTAGTTAATTGCTTTCAATTGCTCTCATTTCGTAGATTAATCTAGTTTAAATTCAAACCATCAAATTGCGAGTAGAATGTTTAGGACCTTTTCGGTTGTGTGATTTGGCGACTAGATAGTGAACGAAGCTCCGAAGAGCCTTCCTTTGAGAACGGCCCGAGTCGGGTAACTCGGTTATCACATGCCCAAAAATACTACAAACAAAATGGTGCCGTTGCCGGGGAAGGCGAGTAGGACGCCAAGTTTGCTATCTAGTTGTCGTTTATTTCTGTGTTTCTTTTCCGTTTTGTGCTCTTTGCTCGTTTTTGCGTGTTTCTCTTGATTATTTGCTTATTTTCCATTTCTCTTGCTTTTGCTTTCGTGCCCGTGTAAATATTATGTGTTTTTAGTTTTGATTTTTGTTATTCTCTCTCTTGCCTCGTGTGCCTTGGGTTGTTTTTCTTGTTCTTGAGCGAGGTATTACGCTTGAGGAGCCCGGATGGATCCCTATTCTCACTATTATGCCGGGAGCTCATTTCGTGGATACCCCGACAATTCTCAAGGGGAGATGAACTCATTTGGCCCAAGCCACCCTTATTCCACACCCCAATGCGATTATTATGATCACTATCCAGCTTATGACGAGACGCCACTCTACTATCTTCCACCTCCCGGTTCTTATGATGTTATGCCTCCACCCGAGCCGACTCGGGCCCCTCCAACCGAATTAGAAAAGATCGTGGAAAAGTTGGAGGAGGACACTCAATCCCTTCGTGCTTCATTAGCTTCCCTACCCGAGAAAGAAGAAGCCGAGTCCTTCACCCTTCCCTGTCCGGTATTTGAGCACCCATCGGTTGACCAACGTCGTTCATCTAGTCTTGGAGCTTTATTTTATTCTGAGGTTGGGCCAATCGATCGTCACCAAGAAGTTTTGGCGAGTACTCAAGACGCACTCGCGAGCCTCGCGTCGATCATCGAGGAGTTTCATAGTTGGAGGTGCATCCCGATTCCATCCGTTCTCCGTGCTACACTTGAGAAGTTCGACTCCACCGTGGTGTCTTTTCTCAACTTGGATTAATCTTTTATTCCGCTCGGCAGATATTCTACTCTATCGGTGAAGCTTATTCGAGAGAGCACTCGATTAGAGAGTGAATTTCGAGTTATGGTGGATCTTTTTGCTTCCTTGAAAGAGAAGGGCCTCACTCCCGTGTACGATGGAACTCAACCTTTAGACACGAGTGAGGACATCGATGAGCTTATTGTCAAAGAACTTCCTCCTTGTGATGACGTGGACTTGCACTCTACACTAGGTATGTCAAAATCTTCTTCCGTTGATGGTGCTTCGGGTTTTGATTCGATTGTCGAGGAGAGTATGGATTCGGAAGTTGATGTTGAGGATGGATTGGAGATAATTCAATTGAGGATTTGAGTGAGCCGAGGGGTAATGAAGGTGGTGGTGATGATGAGGAGGAGAATGATGATGGTAGTGAGGAGGAATCCGAGCATTTAGATGATGTTGTTGAGTAGTATGTGCCGTGTGCGGATGAGATGCCTTGGGATGTTGAGAATAAGGTGGTGCCCATGTCCTTTGGGGCGTCATTTCGTGTTATCAAGGA